CTCAGCCCTGTGTCATGGCCTGGACAAGAGTCTTCCTGTTGGTTGTGGGTGTTGTTGCAGCCATCTAACTCTTCCAGGCAGTCTTTCCACCTGCCTGGCAGTTACCCTCCGCCTTGTCTTTGATGCATGGAGTGAGCTGAATGCCCACAATGGCAGGCACCATGTCCTGGCTCAGACACTTGGGCTAAGAAATGACTAAAAGCTTGGGGGCGTGTAGCCCCTCTGGATATGTGCATTGTTAGTCGCATTAATTCCTTGCTCAGAGCCTCAGCACTTTATCAATGAATGGGGCTGGTGTCACCTAATGAGAGCCATTGTCCAACACCTTGTGGGCAGGCTGACAGGGTGCAAGGAAGGAGATTGTGGTTGGGCCCTGTGAGCATTCATTTACTTCCCAGGAAGCCCACATGCACAGGGAGGCTTGCAGTTGAGCAGCCAGCATGTCAGCTGGTTACATGGACACAGTCCCATCCCTGCTTCCCGGAGGCAGGTCCAGCCTGGGCTGGGCAAGGGCTGTGGGCCAGGTGGTAGGCTACTTCTGCAGAGCATCGGGGTGAAGGGCACTTGGGATGGGGCTTCTGCAGGTGGATGGGTCAGGAGGGCTGCTTCTGGTAGAGAGGACTGCATGCACAGGATTGCGGGCTGGGGTGGGGGGTGAGGACGCTTACAGGGACCACCTTGGGGCCGAAACTAAAGCACAGCACTGGTTTCCACTCAGCTAATCCTACCTGAGTATCTGCAGGGACCCGAGAAGGGGTTAGTATGTGGCAGAGTAACGCAGGGCCCTCACCCTACAGGTGGCAGAGACATAAGTAAACCTGGTCATTTCAGGTGGGACCTGTGGTTGTGGGTTGGACCTGGGGATCACAAAGCCTTTTCATGGTCCGAGTTGAGTGGGACTGTGACAAAACATACACTCACGTGTGGAGAGATGGGCCTGCTTCAGCTAGTGTGGTCAGAGGAGGCTTGGACATGGCTCTTTAGGTCAGGATCAGACTCAGAGGTAGGGAGAGTGCACTGCAACAGAAGGCAGGGGTGGTGCAAGGACCAGGAGCCGTGTGTGTGTGTGTGTGTGTGTGTGTGTGTGTGTGTGAGCACGCACACGCACGCATGCACACGTGCGCAAACTTGAGCAGCCCATGGCCAAGAGCAGTGTCAGAGTCTGACCTAGATCTGGGCATCCCTGGATGTGGGCCCCCGTCTGTTGAGAGGCAAGCAGGGAGGTGGGCCTGGGGTAGCTGGGACTACAGGACCCAGATGCAGGTGGCAATTCTGTAGGTACATGGCTGGGCCTCGCTGCCTCTCAGGATCCAGAGAAACAAACAGGTCCCACTGAAATGATCAACAGGGTCGACACTTTGGTGATTAAACCTACAGTTGAGCAACTCAGCAGCACAGTTAGCAGCCAAATGTTTTGTCTGGAAGCGATGACCTCTTTGAAGTGAGTTGTTTGTTTTTGAGATGTGCAGGTTTGCCCCAGCCTTAACATGAGTTAGGGAGGCCTGACATTATTTCATGGGATGTGGAGGGAAACCAGAGGCCACCTGCAGGGGTGGCACTCAGGGCCCCCAATGCCCTTGAAGAGGACAATGTGCCAAATGCACCCTTCTGTTAACTTCCTGTCGCCTCCATGACAAATGACCATAAACCAAGCTCATGAGAACAGTGAAGACTTACTGTCTCACTGTGCTGAGGGTCAGGATTGTGGCTCGGGTTTGCGGGCTGGGATCAGGGATGTTACAGGGTTGTTTCTTTTGAAGATGTTAGGGGCATCTGGTCTCTTGCAACATTGGTTGGTGGTCCCTTCCATCTGCACAGCCAGCAATGGCTGGGCTGGACTCACTTGCCTTGCTCTGAACTGATGCCTCTGGTCCCTTCTGACACATTTAAGGACCAACCAATGCAGGGCACCACTTCTGTCATTATCAGTGGTTCATTTTATAATCCTGGCCCCTCCCACTCTGGTCATGTAACCCCACATGCTCACTGGTTATAGGGATGGGGGAGTCAGCAGCTTTGCAGAGAACTTTATTTTCCTGAGGCTGGAGAAATGATTAGCAGGGAGGAAAGGAGCCCCAAGTGGTGGCTGGGGAGATTGCATCAACAAGTGCAGAGTCTGGGCAGCGCCCCCCTGGTGCTGCCCTCGCTGGCCTTTAGGTCCCAGCCTGGGCATCATCACATCCCCCAGATGGGTCACCTTTCCTTACCTCTTCCCCTAACCTCATGGAGGCCCCGGTAATAATGAGTCCTCCTCTGCCCCAGTTCCTTTCTGTGTGTTGGCCCGGCTGGTCATCCAGCCTGCATGGAAGCCACAGTTCCATCCACAAGGCAGCTGCTGTTGGGCTACAGCTGGTTTTTGCTGTGTGGTTGACCAGTTGTGACTGAGACGTTCAAGGTCTGGGGTCATCTGTGAATCTCCAGTGCTTAGATGTTGGCACCTGCTTGGCTCCATACACAACCAAGCAAGCCCTGCAGGCTTTGGTCTGGGTATGTGCAACTTGAGTCATAGCCAGCCCTGCTTCCTGGCCCCTGTTAGCTGGGTGTTGCATCGCCTCTGACCCCAGCTGGCTTGTTCATCTTCTGTTTCTCTAGCTCTCAGAGCACTAAGAAGGGAATGTGCAGACAGAGCAGCACAGACTAAAGCCCAGGGCCAGAATTTTATCCCAGCCAAGGTCATGACTCTGCCCTCTGTGAGTTCAGAGACCTGGTGACTTGCTTCTTTTTGTCCTGTGCCTCAGTTTCTGCATCCATCAAGTGGGAAGAGAGCAGCTCTCACCTTGGAGGAGTAGGAGAATTCTGTAGGAGGGTGCAGGGGATGGGGTTGATTGGTGTGTACGTGTTTATGTGTGTGTGCTCATGTGTGTGTGTGTTGGCCCTAGCAGCATGAGAGTTGTGAGTACAACAGTTCACCCGTTGCAGAGTTATGCAAGCTTGGACATCTGTTCCTGCACCTCCAACACAGGCCCAGGGGGTTTTCCCTCAGCATCATCTGAGGATCAAGCGTGGTGGTGCCCAGATATTGCCTGACCACATGTGCCCAGTATTGGCCCCTTCTGTCACTCAGGTTTGAGGCCTTTGCCATCTGCCGAGACTTGAGGGAAGAGAACTGGGGCTGGCCAGAATGAATTCAGTGTACTTCCTGGTCATCTGGGGGGTTGTGCACCCCTAAAACCAGCTTATTCACGGATCAGGGCCTCCGTCTGAGTTCCTGACCACTCCTCTGACTGTTAACAACCCCTGGCTATGCATCTGCTTGTGAACGCACTCTGCCTTGATGCACCTGTCCTGAACCCTGTGAGTAAGGCCGTCCAGGCCCAGGTTGCTGAGGAGGGACCTGCAGGCTTGCATGGGTGGGGCCAAAGCAAAGTGTGTGAGCTGGCCACACTGGCTTGTGGGAAGCCAGGAGCTCCACCCCCTGTCCCTGGGTGTGCTGTTGGGGCAGAGGATCTTGTTCTACCCAGACCCGCCCTACCCCAGGAGGGAGAGCAGGGAGCCATGGTACTGCCCACAGACAGGATAACAGGCCCTTGAAATCCTGAGATACCAAGCAGTCCAGAAGAGTGTGGCCTGTGCTGAGGTCCCAACAGGTGTGACTAGAGGCGTCTCTATTCCCAGAGCCCTGCCACATGACACAGAGATGCCTCCAGATCCAAGACACCAAAGTCTGGGTTCAGGTGCCCTGAAATGCTGGTGCAGCATCCTAGCATGCTGGCACACTTACGCCTTCTGTCTGCCTGCCTTGCATCAGGATGGTGGGGGTGATGGGAGTACCCAAGCACAGATGCCAGTGTCACATGTTAGTTACACATGTGTGCTTGCTACATATGTCTACTCTGCAGCCTGTTCACATGTGGGTTCTTTAAACATCTCCACTACACACTTCATTATATATGCAGACTCAGTGTGTGTGGGGGTTAATAACACATGCATTTTCATTACTTGGGTCTACTTATTTCGTTGTCACTGTATGTGCAGGTGCACTTTGGATGTGTTCTTTATGCGTCTTTATAGCATGTATGTCTGTCATGCATGTGTTTTACATGTGTATATTACATGTTCACAGCACATTCATTATTGATGTGCTCATTATGCATGGTATTTATCATATTATCACCATGTGCCCATTATGCCTGGTCATTACTCATGAATCTGTTGCACTTGAGTTCGTCATGTGTGTATTCATTTTGGATTTGTGACATGTGCTTGCTGTTTATGCACAGTGGGAAGGGACAGGCCCTTCAGGTGCTCTTCCTTCCAGCCTGGGGAGATACATCCTCTGAGGCTCCAGGATTTGTGAGGAGATAAATGGAACATTCAAGGCAGGTGGAAAGTGAAGTCGTTGTCCCCAAGTTCTGGTCCCATGCTGGGGAAGGAGACTCCAAGGAAAACATAGAACAAAATCAAGTTGGGAGGAGATCATAGATCACTCCCTTTGGATTCATTTCATGAAGGTTGCCTGGTCCCTAAGGGGCAGTGTTAAGATATGGCCATCCAGGCCTCTGCTACTGGAAGGTCCCAATCTAGTTTGAGGGCTGGACAGCAGTTGGGCTGCTGAGGGAGAGTGAGGTGCCTGTGTGCTTGGAAGGCACAGGAACACCAAGAACTCACTACTGTGGTGGAGATGGGCACCAGGGACTCACCGCTATGGTGGGAAGGGGCAGGGGCACCAGGTACTCACTGCTGTGGTGGGGAGGGGCACCAGGGACTCACCGCTATGGTGGGGAGGGGCAGGGGCACCAGGGACTCACTGCTATGGAGAAGAGGGGCAGGACCAGGACTCTCTGCTGAAGGGGGCACAGGTGCAGGATGCTCAGGCTTGAGGCCTGCCTGGAGGAGCTGTAGGAGTGTGGAGTGTTTCTGACTTGGCCATGTTGCTGGCTGGACCACTGTCTTCACTACCTTCAGCCCTAGAAGCAGGTGGGCTGACTCTCAGGGCTGGGATACCGGCTCAGCACCAGGGCCACACCCACATCAAACCTTTTTCTTCCCCATCTCTGCAGGGGGCGGAGGAAAGCGCAAGGGGAAAAGCAAGAAGTGGAAGGAGATCCTGAAGTTCCCTCACATCAGCCAGTGTGAAGACCTACGACGGAGCGTGGGTAAGCAGGGCTGCCTCACTTGGGTTGTGCTGGCCAGAACCCTCAGGCAGACGGGGTCACCGATCACAGGGTTGGCTTCTGGGGTGGAGCTTGGCTGCTGAGTTTGCTAAAACAGGATAGAGGTATGCTGGCATCCCTTGAGTACTCCCTGCCTTTGGTTGGCCTTGTTCCTCCAGGTTGCCCTTTCAGAGTGGGTGCTGCCATTTCTTATCACCTTTCACATAGAGAAACTGAGGCATGGACTGATAAGTACCAGGGCTCCATTTCCTCTCCTTGTAGAAGCTCAGGGCCAGCCCAGTCCTCTTCATCCAGCTCCTGTGTAGTCACCTCCAAGAGGTCTGGCACAACCCAACATGCCAGATGGATTTGCTTGAGGAGGAGGCCGGGGAGGCTGGTAGGAGCTCCTGGAGGGGTCCCCCATTCCTGTAGGAAGGCGCCTCATCTGCTCCTGACTGTGGGAGCCACACACATGCCAGGTGTACTTCATAATGCTCGGATCCACTGAGGACCGGACACACTGCACATGCTCAGTTGTTTTAGGGACTTGAGCTCAGGTCTTGGGGTGACTGCCCCGAGCCTGCCTAGGGTATGTTTTTCTGAGTGGCCTCTCCCCTAGTCCCCCAGGCAAGGTGGGACTTCCTACATACCCAGGCATGCGCCATGCTGACCCTGGGCTGCTCAGTCCAGTCCCTGCAAACCCTGGCTTTCCCACAATGAGAGAATGTGATAACTCCCAGCCCCATGGCCCTGCCCTGCCCGATCCAGAAGGCACCCCTTGCACCCCACAGAGGTAGTTGTGAGCATGTCCAGCGAGGGAGGTTGCTGCAGGAGGGGAAAGTGTCTTGGGTATTCATCTCCCATCCTTGAAATTCTGGTCAGGTTGGAACCTCTTATGATGTGCTCGAGGCTGAGAACAGAGCAGGCCTACGAGGTCAGGGCTCCAGGCACAGTAAGCCATGGGTTCAAGTCCCACTGATTCTGGGGGCCACATGAGAAGTTACTCTGTCTTGCTGAGCTATAGTTTCGCCTGTTGTCACACATGGCTGTTAACCCAGTCTGGGGTGTTAGAGTAGATTACATGAGACTATGTATGTAATGAGTCTAGTGGGGTACCCTCAATGGGAACACTGGGCCCACTGCACTAGCATTCTGGCTTTCTTTCCAGAATTGCCACCAGCCAGCCTTGGGGCCTTGGACACCAGGTTGATGCTTGAAATCTAGCCTTTCTGCTTCAAGAGCAAGGTCTATTGGCCCAGCCCCACAGCCTTTCTCTTATAAGATGCCCACAGGGTGATGGGAAAGAGCTGCTTCTCTCCTCTCACAGTCTGGGCACAGGAATGGAAGGATTCTACAGGGAGCCCCAGTGGGACTCCAAGGGACCCCACCCCATCTGACCCTGGGAGGTTGCTAGGAGCCTCGGGGGCTAGTGTGTGGACATGCAGCTGTGTTCTCCCAGAAGGCATTAAACATGCTCTGAATGTGTGCAGCGAGGAGAAGCCTGGTGCCAACAGGGAGACCTCAGAGGCAGAGGAGTAGCAGGCTGGGCCAGGGTGAGGGCAAGGGGCAGGGTGCAGCAGTGTAGGCCAGGCCTGGGCTGGTGGGTTTGGCAGCAGAGCAGGTTGGGCCAAGGCTCAGAGCCTTCCTGCCACCTGGGTGCCCAGCCTCCATGGGTCCTGCTGGAAAGAATCTGAGTGACAGACTCCACTGCTTTTATAGACTGGTACACAAACCAGAGGCAAACACCACATTTGTGCTTCTCATGGACACATGAGCTCACTGACTGAGGCTCAGTGGACATGTGCCCTGGTGCCAGCTCCCTGCGAAGGGGACAGGGTCCCAAGGGTGTTTGGAGTGGTGCAGTGGAAGAACTGCATCGGTGGGAAGAGCAGAGTCCAGCGGGAACACAAGATACTGCTGCTCAGGATGGCTTAGAGGGGAGGTCAGTTAAAGCTCTTGACCTTTCTTATCCCCAATGTCAGCCCGGCCTGCCATGTGTGCCCTGACCCACCTGCAGTAACCCTCCAAAGTGCTCCTGAAAGTTCAGAGCGCTGCGGCCGGCAGATGAAGCCTGTGGGTTCCTTGTCAGAACAAAGCTTCCACAGGGAAGTTACTGGAGTCACAAAGAAAAGCCAGCTGTTCTGTCCAGGAGCTCTGTGATGACATCCCAGGGTACTGTGCACCTTCCAGTCACCAGCTGCACTGCTCAACTCTTTGCTGCTGTCTTTTCTTTTTTCTCTTTCTTTCTTCTTTTTATGGTGAGAAATATATATTTAGAGTTAGGCAGCTGGATGCAGTTTAGCTGACCCCAATTTTGTTGGCATCATAATCAGGCATCAGCTGCATGTCCACCTTCTTTTCTCCATCAGGTCTGATCAGGGTGTTGACTGTGACCATATCCGTGTCCTAGAGCTTCTTCGTGGCTTGTTTGGTCTGGTGCTTGTTGGCCTTGACATCCACAATGAACACGGGTGCGTTGTTGTCTTCCATCTTCTTCCTTGCAGACTCTGGTCACGGGGAGCTTGATGATGGCATAGCGGTCAAGCTTGTTTCTCCTGGGGGTGCTCTTCTGAGAGTATTTGGGGTCTTGGGCCTCTGGAGCCTGGATGATGTGCACATCCACTTGTGCTCGTGGACACCTGTTGGTGCCCCCTCCTCAGCCTTCAGGCCTTCGCTTTGCTTCAGCTTTGGGAAGGGCAGGAGCTTCCTCTTTGCCTTTGGTGCTGTCTTGGTGGGGGAAAAAAAAGCCAGCCCTTTGTTCTGGAAACACCTCTGCACCTGCCTTTTTCTCCATCAGCCCTCCTCTCTTCCAGCAGAATTTTCTACCATGATCCAAATTGTAGCTCCAGAGAGAAGCCCGTGTTCTCCCTCTGACCGTGCTGTTCCTCCCCATGGTGCTGCTCGCTTTATGCTTGCCCACAACTCCACCTGAAGTCTCATTTTCTTTAGCTGTTTACTTGAGTATTTTCTGACTCCCCCACTGGACTGGATGTTCTGTGTTAACAGCAAGTGTGTCTTGCCTAGCTTGCTATTAGAACAGCGCCTGGCACAAAACAGGGGCTCATTAAACACCAGGTGAATGAAGGAATGAATGCGGTGCAATATCTGAAATGAGGACTCTTGTTGAAAAGAGTCTGACATGTGTTTGTCATACCCAAGTGTCACCTTAGCCCACAGCTTCAACTGAAAGCAATGGGAATGTTGCCTTAGGAGGCCCCTTGGAAGGCGCCTCCTTTAACCACCCACCTGCATCTTTCTGCACAGATGGGGACTAAAGCGCAGTGATAGGAGTCAGGCACATGGTGCAGCCACGACTAGGGAGGCAGACGGGTGGCTCTGGGCCCAGGGCAGTTTCGCCTTCAGCAGTTGTTTGCATAAGGGTCATAGCAGTCTTGGATGTTCACAGGATCCTTGGCCAAAAGAACTGGAGAACATGTTGTCTGCCATCACACCTGGCTCCCTGAGGGCAGTGAGAGCCTGGCCTAGAGCCGCTGCTTCTCACGCCCAGGCAGCCTACCATGGGGCATCAGCCCCAGCCCTGCTGAAAGGGGCGGTGATGGTCCCATCTCTCATCACTCTATTGGGTAAAGCTGTGTTGCAAGGTCATCTGCTTCTCCAACAGATGCTGCCGGAGTACCTGCTGTGTGCCCACCAGCTACAGGGAAGCAGTGTTGCTCCAGTTCCCCTGGCGTCAATCCATGGTGGAGCCCAGTGGCTGACTGTGGCAAAATGACACAGTCGCACCAGGGTGTGGGATGGGTTCCTGAGCTAGAGGACAGGGATGCCCATCAGAACTTCCCCAGAGGAAGTGGCATCCGTTTGTGGACCAAGTTCTCTTCACCTGGGCATCTCTGTGGCTGGCACAAGTGAGTGGATGGACTTATGGGCAGGTGGACACCCCCACTTCCTCATTCTGGAAGCCAGGACTGAGGTTGAAGGCAGTGAGCACTGAGACACAGTCCTTGCTACACCTGTCTGCTTCTGCTGTGTGACCACACAGAACTGGCAGGATGGGTCTCTGATGCCTGCTCTATAAAACAAGGGGCAGTGACCTCATTAGTTAATAGACTAATTGTGTCAGAGCCAAGGAAGTACTCAGAAGGTGTAGAACTTGGAAAGGCTGGGACGTCACCATGCAGATGAACGGACCGCTGAGGTCTGCAACTCTTTCTCAGCATGCAGAAAGTTCTGTTGGGTGAAAGTGTGGCATTTTCATGTATTTAGCTTGGGCTCATTGCCTACTTTAGTCTTTCATCCAAAAAAAAAAAAAAAAAAGTAGAGGGGTTGAGAGAAAGACTTGATTATTCTACTGTTTGGCACTTTTCTGTAGGAGCAGTCCAAAAGCTGTGTAATAAATCAAGGCCCCCTCCCCAGGCCTGGCAGGCTGACATTTACCAGGGGGTCAATCACAGAGTGAGTGTGGGGGCTATGTCTGGCTTGTCACCGCCGTGTGCCAGGCCCTGGCAGGCAGGCCAGGGAGCTTGACTTACCTTGAGGGAGAGTCTCTTGCCAAAGCCTTAAGTCCTTCTAGGAGTGGAAATGCTAGGCAGTGGGGACATTCCTAGCAACAAGTCTAGAATCTTAACGTGAGAAAACAAGCCAAAACCTGTAAGAAACTCAAAACTTCCTGGAACTTGTTTGCTACTTGGTTATTCACTCAATATCACCCAGGTTCTTTTTTTCTTTTTTTTTAAGATTTGAAAAATTTATTTATTTGAGGGTTATACGGAGAGGGAAGACACAGAGAGAGAGAGAGAGCTGTTCCATCCACTGGTTCACTCCATAAATGACTGTAACAGCCAGGACTGAGCTAGGCTGAAGCTAAGAGCCTGGAGCCTCCTCTGTGTCTCCCATGAGGTTAAAGGGTCCCAAGCACTTGGACCGTCTTCCCCTGTGCCCAGGCACATTAGCAGGAACAGAAGTGGAGCAGCTGGGATTTAAATTGGCACCCATGTGAACTGGTAGCATTGCAGGTGGCAGTGTAACCCATTGTGCCTTAGTAC